AATATTTTATTTTAACTTGAATTATTTTAAAGGAAACGGATATAATTGAAGAAGTTAATATAAGGAACAATTAGTTCGATAACATAGATTAGTAAAAAAAATATAGATTGATAAAGTCGATGAATTCTAATGATCGATCGCTTTGAAGGTAGTTTGAAGAATTTTCTGGGTATTTTATAGAATTTTTCACTTTCTTTTAATATCATTGAATACTATTGAAAAAATTGGAGTAGTAATATTTTATTTTAACTTGACTTATTTTGAAGGAAACAGTGCTTTTAATATATTTATTTTTAGAAGAAGTTAATATAAGAAACAATTAGTTAACTTATGATAACATAGATTAGATAATAAAATCGATGAATTCTAATGATCGATCGCTTTGAAGGCAGTTTGAAGAATTTTCTGGGTACTTTATAGAATTTTTCATTTTCTTTTAATATTATTGAAAAAATTGGGATAGTAATATTTTATTTTAACTAATCGTTACTTATTTAAAGGAAATGGTGTTTTTTATATATTTATTTTTGAAGAAGTTAATATAATATAAGGAACAATTAGTTAATAACAATAGATAACATAGATTAGATAATAAAATCGATGAATTCTAATGATCGATCGCTTTGAAGACAGTTTTCTGGGTATTTTATAGAATTTTTCATTTTCTTTTAATATTATTGAAAAAATTGGAGTAGTAATATTTTATTTTAAAGGAAATGATGTTTTTGATATAATTGAAGAAGTTAATCGTATTTTTCCATATTTGTCGAATTTTTCCTGTTTGAGTTTGAAAATAAAACGAACAATTAGTTAACTTGCGATAACATGGATTAGATAATAGAGTCGATGAGGTGAGTTGTGACGATCGATCGCTTTGAAGGCAGTTTGAATATTTTGAAGACTATCCATTCAGGAATCTTTTAATAATAGAAACAGAAAAATCGAGATTGTAATATTTTATTTTACTTGACAATCGCTATTTTAAACGAAACTTTTGATGTGTTATATGATGTTTCATACTAGAAGAAGTTAATCGTATTTTTTTAATTATCCAAGTTTTCCTGAGTTTGAGAAAAATATAAAGAAGAATTTGCTCGCGATAACACAGATTAGATAATAAACTCGATGGAGTAAATTATGATGTTCGATCATATTGAAGACACTTTGAATACTTTTCCGACTATTTTTAGAATTTTAGAATAGAATAGAATCTTTCAATGATGGAAACAAAAAAAGATAAATACTCGAAGAATTACTATTTTAAAGAAAATTTTTAAAAGATTCCTTTGATGTCTTATACCGAAGAAGTTAATCGTATTTTTATTTAGACGATTTCCCGAGTTTGAGGAAAAATACAAGGAAGTTGGCAATTAGTAGCTTTCGATAACTAATGGACAGAGCAAATATACCACTATCAAGAAACTTATCTTAAATACGCATTCTTTTAAACAAACTATGCATCCTACTTTATCCTACTCTTCTCGCTTCTCATTCTTAAATTCCTCGTACTTTTGCCTCGTGATTTATCAACGAGTGGAATCGAAGAGAGGAAAACTCGGCGGCGAGTTTCGAGAGGAATTCTATTGTCGAGGAGGGCGATAAGACAGGAAACGGGAGCGAGAGATCGGGTCGCGAAACGTGAGAATCTTCCTGTGGACGAGCGTGCAACCACCGCGTCTCCATCGTGTTCTCGTGAGAAACGAAGCGATCCTCGTTTCGTTTCGTCAAACCGAACCGTCAACAAAAACCGATTCGCTTTGTTTCAGCGAAAGTGAAAACCGTGCGAAACCGAATCGTTCGCGGGGGGCCAACGAACCGAGAGAGATTATCCTTGATGGTGGTCCCTTTTTTTTTTTCCGATGAATTTTTACACGTAAGATGTAAAATCCTCGAAAGGATAGCATTGTCTTTGTTTATGCCGTGTTTTACAAATTTAGATCATATTTTATAATATATATATATTTTATATTCGAGATTATTTCTCTTTGCATTAACTTCTTGTTTTTTTTTTTGGTTAAATGATTATCAAGTTAATTGATGAGTTTTTACACGTAAAATGTAAAATATTTGAAAGGATAGCATTGTCTTCGTTTATGCCGTGTTTTGCAATTTAGATCATATTTTATAATATATTTATATTTTTTATTCGAGATTTTTTCTTTTTACATTAACTTCTTGTTTTTTTTTTTTGGTTAAATGATTATCAAGTTAATTGATGAGTTTTTACACGTAAAATGTAAAATATTTGAAAGGATAGCATTGTCTTCGTTTATGCCGTGTTTTGCAATTTAGATCATATTTTATAATATATATATATTTTATATTCGAGATTATTTCTTTTTACATTAACTTCTTGTTTTTTTTTTTTTTTTTGGCTAAATGATTATCAAGTTAATTGATAATTTTTACACGTAAAATGTAAAATCTTTGAAAGGATAGCATTGTTTTCGTTTATGCCGTGTTTTGCAATTTAGATCATATTTTATAATATATATATATTTTATATTCGAGATTATTTCTTTTTACATTAACTTCTTGTTTTTTTTTTTTTTTTGGCTAAATCATTTTTAAGTTAATTGATAATTTTTACACGTAAAATGTAAAATCTTTGAAAGGATAGCATTGTTTTCGTTTATGCCGTGTTTTGCAATTTAGATCATATTTTATAATATATATATATTTTATATTCGAGATTATTTCTTTTTGCATTAACTTTTTGTTTTTTTTTTTTTTTTTTTTTTGGTTAAATGATTATCAAGTTAATTAACGCAGCGTCTAATATTGAAACTCTTTGTATAATTTGCATAGATATGTTTATATGTAATGTTCAAATAGTTTAATTAAAGTTAAAATTATATTTTATTAAAAAGAAGAAATTTATCTTAATTATCTTAATTAAGTCATTCTCGAGATAAATTTCTAATTTGAAGAAATGTAATAGCAAGAAAGTGAAAAGAATCTCGAATTAAGATATTTCTTTGTCTGTTATTTCGTATAAAGTAAGTAATTTCGAAAAGTAATTCGTATCGCGGACACGATACATCAGCGTTCATCGGGAGAAACGAATTATTCGATTTTCATAGCAGTTGCGAAGAAAGTTGATCCTCGATTCAAAATTGTATGTTTTGTATGTTGTAAACGAGTAATGAAAGAGAAGCATCCGTTACATCATTTGAAACCCAATGAAAATCCGGAAACAAAACGAATCCTCGACACATAACGAAGCATGCGGGAAACGCGATTCGTATGCAACGGCAAACGAGAAATTACAAAGAGAAATTTTCATATCCCTCGCATGCATTCCACGTCGACTGTAATTACACGATGCGTTGTTGCGTTGTATGTATGCGGTTTCAAATCCGCCACTTGCTCGATACACATTTGGTATTCGTAGAAAATCGTTGTTGCATATAAATATTATACGCGATTTCAAGATTTCCTGCCTTTTCTTTCCCTTGTCTTTCGTTTCGTTTCGTTTCGTTTCGTTTCATTTCGTTTCGTTTCTCCTCCTTTTTCCTTCCGTTTAAGCTTTTCGTTAAAATTCGTACGAATTTCGCGTCAGAGGATTACAACGGAGAGAAACTCATTAGCGAGAGATACCCATGTGCATTTGTTTAACAGAATGTACGAAACGTTTCAGTGGAATAGCGAGTCAAAAGTGAAGGAAGCATTTCTCTTTACGGTATTATTGTGTAGCAGGTCATTGGGCCATAGAGAATCGAAAGATGGCCGAGCGGATTTAGCGCGAGGAAATCAAATATGCGTGAAATTATCGGATCTCTCTCTCTTTTTCTTCCTTTTCTTCAAATTCTTTCACCGTTGGAATTATAATCTCGATCGATCGCGATCGCGTGAAATATTTCTCTTTCGTATATCGAGGGATGACGGTCTGTTGAACGATATAGCAGACGATCGTAAAGAAAGTCTTAATGCTCGGTCTACTTTTTACAATCGCCTTCGATTGCACCAGTAAAATGCAAGTACGAGGTATTGCATAAAAAGAAATCTATTCCTTTCCAAAATTTACTGGCCTTTCCTTAAGGATCGATAAATCTGAACGAAAGAACAAAGAAGTAAAATTCTTTCCATTCCAGTTGTACCGTTCCAATTTTTTTTTTTTCTTAAAGATTCTTTAAAAAAAGTAAGATAAGTAAGCGTTAATATTTTTTCCAAAATATTATCTTCAGAAAAATCTTTAAAAACGAAAGAACGAAATATGAAAATGTCTCACCGTTCTCCGTGCGTTCCTGCTTATCGGAAGTTTTGCTCGGTCTGGTGGATCGTTTCAGGGTCGCCTCGAAGTCGCCCACGACGTCGCTGAGATCGAGGGCCGACGATTCTTGCGTTTGCGTGTATCCTCGCCTATCGTGGCTCGTCAAAGAAGACGACGTCACGCCATTCGCGGCCCCAGGTTCCTGCGGTATTTTCGGCAGTTCGGCCTCTATTCCAACGAGGGCTGGACTCACCTATAACGATTAAAAATACCGACAAAATTTACGACACCGACCTTCGTCCATAGCTGTCCGTCTCTCGAC